AGAAGTAAAGGAGGATATTGATGGAGGAGGAAAACAAGGAACTGCATCAGGTGCCTGTTCTTACATAAGTTGCATAATGGTTATAACGGCCAGGTGGGTTGTATAGACAGGATGAGAGTCTTAGAAGGAGAGAAGCCCAGTGGTACTTGGTCTAATCTGTGCCAATGCTGTATCAGCTTTCAACATTGTCCCAACATTAAAGAAGTATGCAATATGGAAAGTAAAATGTAAAGATGCAGATTGTTGGGTTGTTGCTGTTTTTTTTTTAAAAAAACCATTAATATCAAATATATGGAATTGTTTGATTTATAGTTATGTGGTTCAGTAGAATCCTTGGAGTTACATGTGTGTTGGGGAAATGTTTCATTTTTAAAACAGGTGTTCATATATTGGCACAATGCACACATGTAGGCTAGAAAGTGCGGAACGGGTCTGTTGTCAAGAAAGAGAAGGATAAGTGATGTTGTCAACATTAGTTTCAAGCTGCTGTGTCAAGCTTAATGGTCAGATGGGATGTTCTTGCAAGGCTCAGCTGATTTTGGTATCTCAACCATGTCCAGCTTAGTTGTTTCCCTTTTCTCTTTTTGGCAGCCCCACTCTGCTTTGCTAATGCTTGTGTTACAAAAATAGAATACAATATTGGGAGCAAAATCGGGGAAAATATTTTAAATCCTTGTCTTGATTTTTGGCTTTTGTTTTTCAAAGTCAATTATTATTGATGAATATAGAAGGGCGTTGCTTAATGCCTTTAATACACACACACACACACACACACACACACACACACATCTTTGCATTTGGCCACTGCTGGTAGCAGGAGAGGTTACCAGATGGTCCATGCCTTTTAAAAATTGGGAAATTGTGACATGTGGATACTTGGCCAATATTATTCTTAACCCTCTATAAACCATTTGTGAATGGCAATAAGGAGAAGAACAATGTTCCTGTATAATAGAGACAACTTTATTTAAATCTACAGATGGTACTAACTTGGCTTTCCATGCCAAAATTGCCCTCCGGTCACCAGCTCATTCGTGAGCACCCTGACTAATAAAAATCCATGTGCAAGTCCCCATGATTCTCCGAAGGCAGGCCCTAACCTTACAATTGCTCCAGTTTTGATGGGTGAACCCAGCCCAGGTGACCCTGTTTTCAACTGCCTCCCCTTCTTTGGGTAGACCCTGCCCTAATGCCCCATGTTATGCACCTTAGGACAGGCACTTCCTTTCATCCAGTATGGATGGTAATATTTCCACCTCCCACACAATTCTACCTGCCATATAATTGCAGCAAGTTATCTGTGCAGAGCATAGGTGACCACTTTATCCTGCTAAGACTGATACCATGCAGGTCCCTCCCAAACTAATCTGGATGATACAAAAGATATCATTCCTTGACCTCAAAGAGCAACCCATTGTATCCTTGAGTGACCCTAAATAGAAGGGATGGGTGAGTTTCACTGTCCATAGGGCCCTCCACAATTTCACCACCAAATCCCGTGAGATCTAAAAATCCTGGATCTCGCACAATTTTGGCCCAGTGGGCTCTCACAATGATGCAGAGCCCTCCAACCATTTTGAGAGACCTTTTGGGTACATCATCTATGGGCAGCACATAACCCTATTACAGTGGTACCTCTGGTTACGTACTTAATTCGTTCCGTAGGTGCGTTCTTAACCTGAAACTGTTCTTAACCTGAAGCACCACTTTAGCTAATGGGGCCTCCCGCCTCTGCCGTGCCGCCACCATGCGATTTCTGTTCTCATCCTGAAGCAAAGTTCTTAACCCGAGGTACTATTTCTGGGTTAGCGGAGTCTGTAACTTGAAGTGTATGTAACCCGAGGTACCACTGTATATGAAATCAAGGGTTGAAAGCTGCAGACTTAAGAACCTTGCCGGGCTTGTGTAAAAGCCAGGGTTTAGTCCCACAATCTGAGGAAAAATGGCAAAATGCTAAGTTATAGATCCCAAAAATTTACAACTGTTCTTTCAGTTACCAGGATTTTTCAGTTTGTACATTGGCCTGCTCGTGACAATTACTTTTGCTGATTTTTAATAGACACTTCAGATTTAAGCTGTATATATTGAATTCCTAGTCAGCTACTGTGTCAGGTTGCCATTAATATTGGAACGATCCACCTCTAGATATCAAAATCCTGTCATCTGTACAGTGGTACATCTTTGATCGTTGTGACAACTGTCAGGGACTGGGTGAGGCAAGGCTGCCTGGTGTGTGTACACGTGTACTGGTGGCTGCTTCTGAGGGTGCGGCCACAGGTCTTACAGGACTTGGTTCTACGTGTTTCAGCATATTCTGCTGATGAAGGCTGGTGTGGTAAGGCAGCTACAACTTATAAAACAGCTATCAGGTTACCTTCCTTATTCATCCTAACAACAATGCTTCTGTCAAGAGGTTTATCAACCTGCCTTTGCTCTGCCAGAATAGCACTGCTATCTGTCGTACATTCTTTAAGTGGAAATGGTTCAATAGCTGAACCTACTGCTTCTTTGGGATGACTTTTCACTTCTCAGGTAATTGGATTCACTTAGAAACATTTTGATGTTCAGCTTATATGTTCTTCTGATCAATTTTAGACCATAATTGGAGGGAAACATCTTTCGACAGCACTAATAATTCCTGGTGCTGAGTTTTTTCTAGCTAGTTTTTTTAAAATTATTATTATATCTTAAGAGTGGAGTTCTAATGTACAAGCACATTGTAGATATACCGTACTTGAAATGTACTGGGTGTGCCAGCTATTAGTGGGGTTGCTTATTGGTTAATCTTAGATTTGTTTACATAGGCACTATACTTATTTCTTTAATCATGTTTTAGGACTGTGCTGTCCTGTATGACATGCAAGCAATTCAGTATGTCTGGCTGTGCACACTCTGAGTATACTCTATAAGAAACATCATCATCATCATCATCATCATCATCATTATTTCTATTTTTATTATGGCTATCTACACATGTGTAAGTTGCACATCCTTTGCTTTTCCTCGGAGGTGTTGGTATAAAGTTGGAAACACCTGAATAAAAACCACAGTCAAAGTAAAGCTTATAAACATCAGAAAAGCATGGATCTAAGACATGGATCCAAGATCTATGGGCCTTCATGATTCCCCCCCCCCATAGTTTTAAAACAGGATGGCCATAAAAATCAACCAACATATCACATAACATATCTATGGGCATAATTGCCCTGTAGTTTTCAGGGGAGTCTCCCTGAAAAATTATGAGAATGTGTGCCTTGGATCCATGTTTCTGCACAACGGCAGCACTGAAAAGTACCAGATGGCAATGGTGACAGTAAATATGTGTAAAGTGGTAGGAGACTTAGAGATGTCATGGGCACTGGGAGGAGCTTTCAAGGGTAGCGTTGCACTTATAAAGTTCCATGTTCTGAACTCTGGGAGAAGTTTTCAATATAGTTCTTTAACCTTGTTGGTCACTCCCCCCCCCAAGAGTTTACACAATTTTAAATATTTCTCTGCAAATGTGGAAGTTTTCAAACATCTGTTTTGTCTCATAATTTGAGAGCAGCAGTGATTTTGAGAAATTCTTCTTTGCATCTTGTTGCCCTCACTTTTTTTTGTTTGTTTTCTTGTTAGAGGACCACATGGAAAAGGCAGTCCAGCAACTCATCTGTGTTAGGAGATAAACTCAATGATTACTTTTTTCATTTATTTAATAGATACTACTTTCTTCCTTGTATAGCCTCTTTCTTTCTTTCTTTCTTTCTTTCTTTCTTTCTTTCTTTCTTTCTTTCTTTCCTTCCTTCCTTCCTTCCTTCCTTCCTTCCTTCCTTCCTTCCTTCCTTTCTTTCTTTCTTTTACACTATGATGTAACTGTAATAGTTATTCTTGTTCACCTTTGCCTTTCTTGGTCATATTTATGGAATGGTGCCAGAGTACTTGGAAGAAGGTTATTTCAATGGCAATGTAGCTAGGAATTAGTTTTTAAAACATTTTTATAGTTTTAAAAGCATTTTTAAAATAGCTTTAGACTTTCTTTTTTGCCACTGCTATATCTGTAAGACCACTGAAGGATGTGTGTAATCACAATCCATTTTGTTTCCACTTATCTCACATTTGCAATACAGCTTTCCCAACACTTAACTATGTGGACCATCCTAGGTAATGCAAATGTTCTGATTACACTGTTTTATACACATGTACTTGTTAACAGAAAGCCTGGGAAAGTTCTTCACAAGAATGGCATTTTTTTATTTTAAAAAATGAAGAATTGCATGCATTTAGGGATGTAATAGACCCTGGAGAATACTAGTACTAGTACCAAAATTGGATGCTTCTGTGGATGGTGTCAGTATATTGTTTAGTTTAACTGGCCATTACACCCCTCCCCACCCAAAAAAGGGCAAATGCAATGTATACAAATAAAATAAATAAATAAATATAGCCACAAAGTAGTACAGGACTTAGTTGTATCTGGATGGAGTCAGAAAATTCTTGCAGCTGTCTTGCTTAAGACTCCAATTTTTGGACACACAGAGAGAGACAGAAGACTTTCCTGTATTTTATAGCGTGGTGTAATTACCACATCTGAGTGATGTATGAAAATTGTGTGATGTGCAAAGGAAGACTGTGGATATTTATTGGACGTGTATCTCCTAAATGAACCAAAACCTCCCGATTCCCAACTTTGAGAGGTGGGGGTGAGGTGGGGGTGGGAATTAGTCTGCTGCAATTGTAGAATCTGAAATAGGAAGCAAAATGTGCAGGTACCTATTCTTTTCTTTGTGTGAGAGAAACTAGCCTGAACCACTCCCCCCCTCCACTCCCCAGCCCCATGTAAAGAATATTGCAAGACAACTATGGTTATAGTACTGGCCCAAATTAGGCGTCTTCCTGACTTGAAGCAATCACCAGCTGATACGCTGCTTAAAATCTTGCATTAGTAGAGCAATCTCATCTTATGCATTAAGGTTTCCTTTATCCTGTTGCTTTTTCGCTGAAATGGATTCTTCTTTTCACAGGCACTATCCTTTGTTGGTTTGCTCTAAATGTGTTTGCTGCTGTCAAGTGACAGGAGATATGCTATGAAGACGGGGCTCTAAGAAGCAAGCAGAAGTCTTTTTAGTAGTTCACATATACGAAGGTGATAAAATAAAGAATTAGCAACCCAGGATACAACGTCTTTTCCTCATCGGAAACTCTTGTACAAAGAAGGAAATATAGCTGTCACCACCTAATAGTAAAACGTGAGTTTTTGGATTTTTAGTTGCCTTTTAAGCATTGATTAATTGCAGTTTTATATGTATGAAGTATATCTGGGGGTTTCTACTTGCTGAAATTTTAATGAATGTGTGAATCTTCTTTACCTTCCTACTTTTGCCAAATCTCTCTCTCTCTTTCTCTTTTGGTACAATAATATAAGGTTATTTGTAATGCTTTACAATCGGGGTCAACAATTCTGGTCTGGCTGCAGGGATGGGGGTTGGCAGGGCAGGCCCAAGACTTTTTGCACCTCAGGCAAACCACAAAATGGTGCAGGCCTCCCCACCAGGGAAGAAGCGGTGCGTGAAAATCTACACCAGCAACACGAGTGGGAAGACAAAAGCACTGCCTCCTATTGGCCAAGAGGCCACATTAGAGGCAGCATTGGGAGCAGGCTCCAATCAGGTCTCTAAGGAATGCATCACCTCTGTTGCTTCCAACTCTGCAGTGGGCACTGCATTCCATAGAAGCCAGATTTGCTGCCTCTGTGGATCCTCTTGTCTGAGGCAGTTGCTTCAGCTTGCCTCATGGATGGGCCAGCCCTGGGGGTTGCAGTACTTGCTGATTTAGCTACTCAATAGCTAAGGTGTTCTGGGTACTTCTTAATCCAGTGGCTATGTGTACCTGCTTAGACAATCCCTACCCACCTCTGTGGTTCCAAACTTGGGTTGCAAAGCTCATGTCTTGTCACTTTTGCCAAAGAGGATGCCATGATGCCTGTTTTAAAACTCATGTAACTCTCATGTGCATATCTGCAAGCAGAGCTGCAACCTGAAGCACTCGTTGGTGTGTGTAAAATAGACACCGTACATCAAACCCTTATAGAAATGATAATAATTTCATATTGGTTCACAATGTTCAGCTGCAGGTTTTTGAGCTTTTGATCAGCTTTTGGGACAATGGGCTGAATCAAGGGTGGGGAACCTTCTTCAGTCTGAGGGCAGAATTCCCTTCTGGGTAATCTGGGGTTACATGTCAGTGGTGGGTGCAAAATTAGGCAGAGAAGTCATGTGACTCTTACCATTGTACGAAAGGCTACATTTCAGCCATGCAGAAGTCAGACTGGTATGCAAGAGGCTTGGTCACAGCTCCTTGAGCAAAGTGAAATGCAAAAGCGTTCTGGGAGGGCGTGGAGCTGGGCCAGTCAGAGGTTTGTCATCTGGAGGCAGTCCGAAGAGCTGGATAGGGAGTCCTGAGGTTCCCCACCTCAGACAGGCACCTAATGATGAGGAACATCCATCTCAAATGTGTTTCCAGTGCTTGTTTAATGATAACATGGAAATAATGAGCTCTGAGGTGTATTGCTGTGATAATATGTGCCCTGGCGCAAGGCAAATGAGAGTAGTTTTGTTCCCAGCTCCATTCAGCTACAAACAGCTTTATTCCTCAGTACTTAAAAATTTGCTCAATTGTAATCAAATATAAGACAGGGCATGTGGAGTACTTCCAGGAAAGCAGGAGAAATATGCACAATCTGAAGAATAAATAACTGAGGTATGAACATTGTTTACTAGCTTCTAGCTTTAAGAATGATAGTAAAAAGAGTGGAGCATATCAAAAGCACAGATTGGAGAGAAATGAGTGGTCCAGCACAGGATCTCTACCAAAAGGAATTATTACCTTTCCTCCTAACTTCTCATCCACACAACACTTCCTTGCTTTTCAAAACACTATATGTGTATTAATGTGTTTAATTGCAGAAAGCAAACTTGGGTGGAATCTACACACATATAAAAACTGTTCTGAAAGTGCTTTTTTGAAAAAGCATTTTTAAAATTTTATTGAATTTTCCATAAGGTTCACCATCTCCATCTAGTGTCACATTGTATATTGCACTTAAAACACATTTAAAACATTTTATTCGCATCTGTATAGCTGAATCCTAGCTTCCTGTGGATTAAATATGAACTATAGAAGCTTTCCAAAATCTGAGACAGTTTGATGTAGATGTATGAATTTTAATTTGGTAAAAGAATTAAATTAAGTAATTGTCCCCTTGGTTTTCTCAGTACTAGTATTGAACTTTTAATGCTACCATAAAACTTAGTGCAATTATTTTTAACACAGCAGATTGCCATATTGACATGAATTTTCCTTTTCGTTCTGACCTCATGTACATTCTGACCTGTCTGCTTTTTCACCTTCTTTGGCAAGAGCTAATATGTAATGGAGACCATAAAAAGAATTCAGATTGGCAATTTCTCGCCACAGAATAAATTGATAAAATTAATTTTAAGAAAGCCTATTTTTGAATATATTTCTTATTCTAGTTAGTCTTTGCAATTCGTCTTCTCTCTGTCATAGAAAAGAAGCATGAGGAGTTTAGAGAATGGGCAGAATGCTTTTAAAAATGTGCTGTATGCTTTAATAAAATCATAACAAACTGAATGTTGACTTTAATGACAATGGTATGGTGGCACTCTTTCACTGCTCCCCTTGTACTTGGTATTTAAATATAAAATTATGAAGCGGTTTACAATGAGTAGTTTGATCATGAATTTGATTAGCATTATTCAGCTACAGACTGTTGAGAAAACTTAAGTATGCTTATGGTAGTATTCAACACAGGCATGCCTCTGCTATATTAGCCCACGGATCTGTGAACAATAGAGCTGAAAGCATGAAGCCCAGTTAGTTCTAATCACTAGTATGTAGACAAGAAGCTTATCACTGCCCTTGGTGTCGTGAATTGATGGGTTTGTGGCATGTTTTCAAATTAAGGATGAACAATAATAATAATAGGGAATGAGTCACCACTCTGAAGTGAGTCCAAGGGGACATTTCTCATCTCTAGATACTACTTTTACTTTAGTGTTTTCAAATGAATGATGGTTTCATTTGGAGTCTAGGTAGGCAACTGCATTCATGATCCTACATGACATCTTCAAAGCAGATAAAGGTAAAGGGACCCCTGACCATTAGGTCCAGTCGTGACTGACTCTGGGTTTGCGGCGCTCATCTCGCTTTATTGGCCGAGGGATCTGGCGTACAGCTTCCGGGTCATCATCATCAACCTTTTATTCGACCGTCAGTCAGAAAAAAGTACATTTGTCAATACACAGTTAAAACATCCAGGAAGATTTTAGAACTTAGCCAACACTAAAATGGGCTAAACAGATAGCCCTATATCAATACAGTCAAGTATAGTCTTGCGACGCTTAAAAGCTAAAAAAAGAAATTTGGCCACCAAGGAAGGTATAGCTCTAGTGTCGTTATTCAGCAAGTGTAAAACCTGGTTTTCTCCGGGTAGGAAGCTAAATTGACATAGGAGTGGGTCTATAAAATTTTGTCTAAGCTCTGCATAAGAAGGGCAAGTCAAGAGAATGTGTTCGGTGGACTCAACCGCACCCATGGCACAATGACAGGTTCTCTGGGCGTATGGTACTCCCCTGTACCTTCCCCACAATATCGCAGAGTCAAGGACATTTAATCTAGCCGCTGTAAGAAGTCTGCGGTATTCCACATATTGGATTTCTGCAAGGTAGGGGGCTGGTATGGTCCGATAAATCTGGTCCCCTAGGAACATCCCTGGTTTTACCTGGGCTATGTCCTCTTGTCTGGCAATGTCACTCAGTCTCCGGGAGATCACAGCTCTAGCTTGATTGTACGTCATAGACTCAAAGTAAAGGTGAGACAATCCGCAGGATTGAACCTCGTTAATGACCTCCCTTTCCCACGATGATTGGAAATCGTCCCTCAATACAGCTTCCGGGTCATGTGGCCAGCATGACTAAGCTGCTTCTGGCGAACCAGAGCAGCACACGGAAACGCCATTTACCTTCCCGCTGGAGCGGTACCTATTTATCTACTTGCACTTTGACATGCTTTTGAACTGCTAGGTTGGCAGGAGCAGGGACAGAGCAACGGGAGCTCACCCCGTCACGGGGATTCGAACCGCCGACCTTCTGATCAGCAAGTCCTAGGCTATGTGGTTTAATAGACATGAACAATTAATTACAGGATTGTCATTCTTATGTAAATGGCAATTCCTTTGGGTATTGGTAGGACAGGCACATTAAGCTGCTCTAGATACAAAGGTCAGGGAGGCATAAGACCAAAAGACATGTGTAGGTTAAAACAGCCAGGTAGGCAGGGTTGGCATGGCTCTGTGGCATGGATCTTTTTCCCACTTTGAACTTCCAGTGTCCTGTTCAAACAAAACCCAACCCAGAATGTTTGATGAGGAATGCCCATGGGAGTTAGCCTGCTTTTCACTGAAAGAAAGACAAAAACCTCACAACCACGACCAATAAGTCATTGAGAGTAAAATTTCTTTCTGGCCCTAAAAACCAGAAGCCTCTTAAAGCCTAAACTGAGGGAGGAGGAGGAGGAGGAGGAGGAGGAGGAGTTTGGATTTGATATCCCGCCTTTCACTCCCCTTCAGGAGTCTCAAAGCGGCTAACATTCTCCTTTCCCTTCCTCCCCCAGGGGGCATGGGGTGAGGAAGCTGGATGAGGGAAAGTCTGATTTTGGCATATGGCAAAGGCTTTCAAATTGCTTTTGCTTCACCCCTCTCCCTCTGACCTTGCAAGGCCTCATGAAAGCAGGTGAGGTATTGCAAGATTCAATGGAAGATCGGGTCTCCCTCCGTGTTGTAGCGCCTCAACACAAATTGGTCCCCGGTATGCAGGAGGGCACAGAACAATAAGTTGTTGGGATTTTTCTGCCTTCAACCTGTTACAACATAGATTTGCTTTTAGTATTATTGTTTTTTTTTATAATCATATTTATTAAAATTTCCAATAATAACAGAATAGAAAAGATAGAAGAAATAAAGAAAAGAAAGAAAGAAAGAAAAAAGACCAATTTTAAACCCTTATTTTCATAACCTTCTTTCTGGGACTCCCTCCTTCCCCTCCCGACTGTATTCCCCTTTCCCTACGTTGGTTCCACAAGTTCTCATTCCCAATTTAAACCTAATATGTTATGCCTAATAGCCAATTTAAATTACAATCTTAACGTCACTCCTCATCTTTAACAAAAT